ATTATAAATAAATTTGATTATTATATTATAAATTAATCTTAAATAAACTTATTTACTAGATTATTACTTATATATATTTAAAATTTTATGTAATTTAAATAAATATTTATTAAATAACAAATAAAAAAATATTAAAAAAGTATTTTGAATTTTTTATAATCAATTTTTTCAAAAAAAAATTTAATAAAAAAATATTAATTATGAAATATTTTATTAAAATAAGTTATTAAATACTTTTAAATAAATTTTTTTTCTAGATTATCAAGTATATATATTTAAAATTTTATATGAATTAAATAAATATTTATTAAATATAACTAAAATTAAAGTTTTTTTTTGATATACTATATATTATTAAACTTTAGAAATTATATTTGAAAGATCAAAATTTTATAATAATTATAAATTATATATCTTTAAAATATATTAAAATATAATATAATTTTTAATATATTCTTTTATTAATTATATTTAGTTAATAATAATATTATTATTATTAAATTTTAATAATATAATATTAAAATAGTAAGCAAAAATTAAATATTTTAAATTAAAAAAAATTTACTTTATTTAAAAAATATCAATTATATAATTATTTTAAATAATAAAATATTAAAAGTAAAGATTTTATTTGAGTTTTATAATATATTTATAACAAAATATATTAAAATTAACAAGATATATCTTACTATTTCTTAATAATTTTATTGATCAAAGATAAATAAAAGTATTTATAAATATATTATTAGTTATGAATTTTATTAATATAATAAAAATAATAATTAATAATTCTTAGAATTATTTTAATTACTTATTATTTTAAAATATAGATAAAAATAAATCATTATAAAAATAAAAACTAAATTCTAATAATTAAATATTAAATTCAAGAATTAATTATCAGAATAGAAATAAAAAGTAATTAATAAAAGAATAAATTTTATTTTTTTAGATTTAGAAAGAGAAAGCAAGAAAACTTGTAATTTTTATTCTAATTTTTATGAAAAAGATAATAAATTTATAAATTAAATAAGAACTCAGAATAAATTAATTAATAAATTAATTAAATTAGTAGTAATAATATAATATGTGAGTAAGTTTATTAAAGCTTAATAATAAATATAATTGTAAAAAGAAGAAAAAAAACTTTTTAACTTATTTTAAAAAAGAGAAAAATATAATTTCTTTTTATTAAAGATAAATAAATTTCTTATGAAAAGAATTAATCATTATGAAGAAAGTCTTAGAAATTAAAAGAAAAAAAGTAATTAAATTTCAAGAAAAATTAGAAAAGTAAAATAAAAGATAGAAATAAAAGTTATTAAATAAAAATTAAGAAAATAATTTAATAATGATAATTATATAAAAAATATATGAAGTAATTTTTTCTTTTTGTTTTTTTTAAAATATTTCTAATTATGCTATAATTCTTTAATTTCATGATGAATTTAATATAAATTAATTTTATATTAATATTTTTTATATAAAGATAATTTTATATTAATTCTGTTATGATTTATATTCATCATATTCTGATATGATAAAGTAGATATTAAAATAACAAGTTTATATGTTATAAATAAGCATCATTATTATTTTTCAAAATATTATCAGTCATACTGGTCAATTTTACATTCACATCATAATCAGCCTCTTATTTACATCACATAATAAAATATTCACTTTGTCTGGTTTTGTTGCAATATGTCTTATATTAGAAAAAGATGTTTAATTTCAAATATATAAATATATATTTGAATTAAATAAATTAAAAATAATCAGTTTCTTAATAAAAAAATTAATATTTATGTAATTTATAATTTTTATTAGAAAAAAACTAAAAACCTGAAAAATTTAATTTGGGGCATGCTGCAACAAAACCAGACAAAGTGAACTTGTGATGTCAGACAATTTCTTCATTCCTGTTTGAATTTCGGCTCCGTTTTCAAAATAAACAATTTTCACTCAATTTCTTATTAATATCTTTCCTAAGTCTTCAATATAAAGAGTTGGCCATACTCTTTTATTTGATCCTCCAAAGTTTTATTGCTGGTCGGTATATATAGTTGCTGATGAACGATGGGAAATCTCTTACTATTACAACATTCAACTTATTTTTATTGAGAAATCCTTAACTTCTTTAGCACAAGTTGTATATATGCCTGGTTTCGTTGACACTAACGGCCCTAATCAAATCGTTACAGCATCACTTTCATTTCTATCTAACAAGAACCACCATCATCTTTCGTATCCACCTAATCATCAACTTCTTCGCGTATGACCAACACATCCCGACGAAATCTTCAGATGATTCTAGTGCAAAAGACAGACTATGTTAACATAATGTATAATTACCAAATGACATTAGTCAAAATATGTACTTAGCGCACCACTAGTTGAATAAGTTTCTGCTTATGGATAAAAGCGCAGGCCTTAAGTAGACAGTTAATTGATCAGAGTTGTCATGGCGTCTAGCTTAAAAGTTATACTCAACATTAGACAGTAGGGAAAGCCAAGAAAGAAGTCTAATTTGGTACTATCCACCACTCCGCCGTCTAAATGACAGGCGCGGGCATGGTGGCCTACCTTTGCGTACAGGGAAGTTCACCGTCTAAATGACAGGCGTGAAGTCTTCCCGCACGCACCTCCGCCGAACTGATCAACTAAATGTCAAATCAGCCGGCAGGCGACTGTGATGAGGAGGTCACCGTCTAAATGACAGGCATGATGGTCTCCCCTTCACACTTCCATCAATAGCCGCCGTCTAAATGACAGGCGCGGACGTGTGGACAAAGAGATGTGCTTACACTAAGAAAAAAATTTTCAGACAAACAGTCATGTGATCATATCTACACGTGATCTCGTCGCGTAAAACACGAAATTTCTCGCTTCAACCATGTCTGACCAAAGCTTGTAGTAGCAAAATATTTCAAATTCCAGTGCGACCCGAAAGCACGTGGTATTGACGGTTTCTTCAAAACAGTGCCAGCATCCAAATGGTCATTGGAGACTTACATTAACCATAACCTCGAGCAGTCTGGCGATGATCTTGACTTTGACCAGTTATTCGCCATTTTCACGGAGAGCCTCGACCAGATCAACCAACTCATTGCCGTTCCTGTGTCGATTCGGTCGGTTTGCAGTAACTATCTTAGTTGGCTACAGGTACTTTTTTCACTTGCGTTGTAAAGTATCCAGTAATCCGCCTTATAACATCTATTGTAGACATTGACAGGTAAAGGAGCCGTCGAAATATGCCGCGGCTTCTTCGAAGCTAAAATATTGCTTAGAAGGAAAACTTCTATGAAAGCTGTGGTTGAGGTACGTCAACAATGATGAACACATACATGGCAATGGAGATACTTATATCTACCATTGATCTTTCTTGCAGGAAACGGTGAACGTCACCGCCCATACGGAGGCGTATCAAAGTCACCTGCAATCTCTCGTCCATGTTAATGAAGCATTCCCCGAGTTTCCGCAGTATGCGCCTAGGACTCCACCAAATCTTCAAGGGGACCTGACATTATTAATGAAAACACCTAACAAAAGACCGTTAGAAGATGAACAAGTACAACAGTAGGGGTTTCATTGTTATGCTTGCCATACATTTATGACAATCGAATGTTTGTCGATGACTATTTTCACCCTTCCCTTTTCCGTCTAACAGGTACTCGCACGACGCTGCCGTCGTCTTTGCGTCCGAGATGACCGAGGAGTTAAAAGCGAAAATCGGAGAGGATCTCGCTAAGGAAATATCCTCGGTGCGCGGAAAAAACCCTGCTGTTTGGACACCTGCCTTGGAAAAGTACATCGATAATGCGCTCAAGGCATGTATCCCTTAAAATTTCTTCATACAAAATTCCAATCTTGGTACTTACTTTATTATACTACAGAAAACAGGTGACGACTTTAAGCAGGCAATCCAGATCAAAGCACCGGATGTTGGGGACGAGCTGTTCCGACTATATTGCGAGAAGGTTCTCATTGACTTGTAAGCTTTGCCGTTAACATCTATCGATTGTGCCTACGGAGATATTGATTGTCACATCTCTTTTAAAATATAAGCTTCAACCTCGTCGATGTCTGTTCAACGATGAGCCGGAAAATCGGCGAGCGAAAATACATCATCTACCATATAGCATCGCTCTTCAAGTTTTACGAGACTACATTCATGACACTCAATTTCGATTGGGTGGAATCTCATGCTCATGCTGCTAAAATGGCAAAATCATCCACCACCTCTGGAATTGTGCTTGTTGATGCGAAAGCAACAAGAAACTCTGATGGCCTTGATGTATGGCACATGGAAGTCTCTGGGCCCCCCTCGAACGCAACTATCGGTCATACATTGGATGACACCAAAAAAATCCTCCGAATGGACATTTTGAATTTGATAGCACTGCTACAGGATCATCTTGACTGTGATATAAAACTGGCAACGAAGATTAAAGTGTTCAGCACTCAGGCGATTGGTTTGTAGCAGTTGTGTAATGGTATGATTTTATAGAGATCGTGAAGAAATATTTTTTCGATAATTATCCCTGTCTTTTCAGGCACCCGGCTGACACTCTACGCTCTAAACTTGCTTCCTGATGGCTGCTTTCTTGTGACCGAGCTCGCTTCTGCTCATACCATTCAGCTTTAACGGCCGGAGCCAATATAAGGCCATCCTCCGGATGATACGTACGTGTTCAGATAAATTTGATGTTTATGATGGCTTTCCGGATGCTCATACGGTGGCGTTTTACTATTAGGATGAGGTGACGAGGCAAGAGAAATTACTTGAGGAGATTAATCAATTCGTACTTCGGATAGCGGAAACAACAGTCCGCCAAGTGTTGAGAACGCCGGAGATAATAATGGAAGGATGAGTTGTGGAGGACGAGTTAGGCGAGCAAGAAATGTAGATAAGGAGAAAAAGAACTATGGGATTTATCAATAAACGTTGCAAAGAAGAGTTTATGATAGTATTCTATAACTACTGATAATATGCTCAATGTTATTTAACAATTTTTTTTTAACGTAATGACCTAATTTATGAATATATGTATAACTATTCCTATATAAATAATTATATGAAACTAATTTACGTCAAATCCACTATAGAACCGAAAAATTACAGCACTATCAGAAGTATTTTGAAACAAGAACAAGGCGAGAAACTTGCTCCTTATGTTTTTAAATTATCCGACACCAAAGCTATTCAAGAATACTTGGATAAAGAGAGAATTACCTACGAAATTTACCAACAATTATACGTCAATTCTAATAAACGCATAAATACCGCTCATCAAGAAGATATTTCTGGATGAAGTCAGGAATTAAATCTTAAGAAGCGAGAATTACCAGAAACTTCCCAAGAACCGAGGAAAAAACGAAAATATTAAGAGTAAAAGTATATAGGAGTAGTCCTATAGACGACATAATTATGAACGAATACGAAAAAGCTCTTCATTTCCTGGAAGCGGGATGTGGTTGCGGTTGCTCGACTAAGATGCCCAAAGAAGAATTTGCTGAATTGCGAGAAGACTTTCAAGCGCTTTCCAAACCCGAACAAGACATTTTCTTAATGGCTCAACTGAGATCCATGGATGGGGGAGCGATCAGTACTAGCCGACGTCTCAAGAATAAGACTCGCGTTAACAAAAGAACTGTTTACTGCTGAAATCGTAACACTCCGATTTGTCAAAAAACCTACCTCAATATGCTGGGATTGGCCGTAATTACTTTGAAAACATCCGAAGTCATTTGCTCAAGAATGGTCTTCTACCACGGGTCCATGGTAATGTCAAGAGAATGCCACGGTGAAAAACCAGGATGGTTATCGATATTGACGTGGCTACTGCAGTCAGGAATTTTTTGTTAAATTATGCCGAAGTTCATGGCTTACCCAACCCAGTAAGAAATGTTAATCGTGTGACCCAATCCATTATCTTCCTACCAGCGGAAATGAGCTACAGATCTGTTCACTGTGACTTTTTGGCTGGCTTAGAAGAAGAAAGTAAATTGCGTGCCCTCAAGTATGATGCATTCCGCAAATTATGACATCAGCTAACCCCGTACATTCAAATCATGAGCCCCCGAACTGATTTATGTGATACCTGTCAACACTTGCGGAATGACTTGCAATTCAAAGCTCGTAAAGAAGAAGAGGCCCAGGATTTATTAAAGAGATATAAAGAGCATCTGGTCAAAGCCAAACTGGAGAGAAATTATTATAACAAAAATACCAAGTTGGCAGAGGAACAAAGAAAACTCGTTGATCAGAATTATTCTATCAATATAATGAAAGACGAGATACTATATCACAGCATTGACGCTACCGCTCATTACAGTTACGGCTGAGCTCAAAATGTCCATATTCCTCATTCCGATCAGCAAATTGTATTATCTTAGTGCTCGGAAGGTGCATTTGTTTGGTGTCCAAGATGAAGCAGTCCGGGAGCAAATCAATTACGTTCTTGACGAGAATGAGCTTCTTGGAAAGGGTCCGAATGGTACACTTAGTCTGGTCTTCGACGGAATAAAGCAATTGAATAGAGGTGAGAAGCATTTGAAGGTTACCTGTGACAATGCGGGAGGGCAAAACAAAAACAACGCTACTATTTGGTTTTACCTGTACTTGGTAATTGTTGGCTATTATGAAAGTATTGAGCTCAACTTTATGATACCAGGGCACACGAAATTCAAGTGTGATGGTAGCTTTGGTCTGATTAAAAGACTTTATCGTAAGACCACGGTAGATTGTGTAGATCATGTGGTCGAGGTGGTAAAAAGATCTAGCATCGCCGGACTAAATAAAGCTCGACGTTATAATGGTGATGAAGGTTCCAATATTACGACGTCATAAGCGGTCTAGAAACCTATTTCAAAAAATTACCTGGCCTGCAAAAGATTCAACATTTTCTTTTTACTCATTCTCAACCTGGTGTGGTTAAAGCCCAAGAAGTCGCTGATGGTCCATTCCAGGAATTCAAACTATTAAAAATTAGTAAATCCGAGGCTTCAAGAGTCATAGAAAAAATCAAGGCCCTGTCATTTCCAGTGCTGGAACCGCCTCCTATGAAGTATGAAAGACAAGAATATTTTTATCAGCATATTCGGCCTTTTGTCAAAGATTTGTTTAAAGATGTTACTTGCCCAAAACCATCGGTACGCAGCGCAAATGAATAATAAATAACAGCAAATCATTTTGATTTTAATAGTCGCTAGTAGTTTCTTTGGAGAACATGTGCTTCTTCCAACAATGATATCCACTCCTATAAAAATTAATTTACTATGCAAGAAAAAAAATGCATGTCTTGTGCTAAACTCAGTGTTCCGCTAGAGAAAGGTCAACTTAGATCTCTATTAACAGATGGAGGAACAGTTTTCTC